GGAAAATGAAATGGACACTGGGGAAGTATAGAGATTTAAGGAGCTTAAGTTAAGTTACTATATTGGGGAAATCCTATTATTTACTACATATACCTATTATGGTAACCCTAAACCCTGAACCCTAAATCCCTAACCCCTACATACGCAAAATGGTAACTTAATTTAAGTTCCTTAACAGCAACCCAGCAGGATGCCACTGCCTACTGGAACCTACGTCGCTCCTGGGAGGAGCCTGGGGGTTTTTGGGGGTTTTGGGGTTTTAGGGTTTTTGGGGGTTTAGGGTTTTTAGGGTTTTAGGGTTTTAGGGTTCAGGGTTTAGGGTTCTGCGACTAAATACACTCCCCCGAAGTAACATGGGACCTACAACAGGCCTCCCTTAAAGGGGTTGTAGTATATATAGGAGATTAAAGCCTAAATGCTAAACCCGTGAACCTTTTCGGTTTCCTTTCTAGTTTGGGAGGGTACGGCGTATACGGGCCTCTGGGCTTTACCGGAGAGAGATAGGGTTTAGGGTTCAGGGGTTTTCATTTCAGGGTTTTTAGGTTCAGGGTCTTGGGTTTAGGGGCTACATAGGAATTATGTAGGGAGTATGTAGGGCAGGGGTTGTATAGTATAGGGATTATATAGGGTTTGGGGATTTGACTCCCCAATAGTGGAAAGTCAAATGGACAAAAATTGATTATCAAATGGAAGCTGGGCTTATGCTGGGGCTTATAGGTATAAATACGAATATGATGGTCCTAGACTCCTTGCATGCTTATAATCGCTTCCCCCTAATATTAAACGACGTCCCCCCCCGCTAATATTAAATATTCCGGGCCCCAAGAAATTATTCAATGTTAGGGGTGGATATTTTTTGAAGGAATTAGGTAGGGCTACCTTTAATCTCCGTTTAAATTCCATGGAAAATAAATAAATATTTTAAAGAAATTGAATTAACTAATTACGTCTTCCTTGAAATCGGATTAACATACGTCTAAAATCCAGTGAAATGTAATTAAAATCCTTCGTAAAACCAAGTTAAATCGAATTAAAATCCCGTTAGAATGCATTGAAATCTAATTAAAATGCCGCTAAATTCAATTGAAATTTGATTAGACGTACTTTTAAAATCACTTGATAATTAAAAGTCAATCAATTGAAATCGAATTAAAAGTCCCGTTACAATCAATTGAAATTTAATCAAAATCCCGTTAAAATCGATTGAAATTTGATTAGAATTCCTTTCAAAATCAATTGAAATCTATTTAAAATTCCTGTTAAAATCAATTGAGATCGAATTAAAAATTCCTTTTAAAATCAACTGAAATCAAAGTACAATTCCTGTTAAAATCAATTGAAATCGAATTAAAATACCCTGAAACTCAATTGAAATTTAATTGAAATCTAATTAAAACCCCGTGAGAATCAATTGGAGTTTGATTAGAACTCCTTTTAACATTAGTTGAAATCTAATTAGAAGTCCTTTCAAAATCAATTGAAATCTAATTAAAATTCCTGTTCGAATCAATTGAAATCGAATGAAACTCAATTGAGATTTAATTAAATACGGCTAAAATTGCAATGAAATCAATTCAAATCGCTTCAGTTCTTGTATGTAAAATCATTTATTAAACCATATGAACAACAATCAGAACCTAAGAAATGAAGGGGATCCCTAATTCCTTCGTATTTCTTCTTATGCCCCCTAATGACCTCAGAACCCCCCTAATTCTTTATTAAGTGGCCCTTTTAAAAGTAGTCTTCCCCTTTTAAAAGTAGTCTTCTGGATTTTTAGGCCTCTGAACTTTTTATTTAATATTAGGGTGGATTTAATATTAGGGGGAAGGGATTATTATAACATAGGGTACTTCAAATAGACCTCCCAAAATGTATTGGTAATTATTTACGCACCTGGTAGCCTGGGGCATTTAGAACCATGTTTAAAGAACATGGACATGAGATTGTTGTTCTCATTTCCTGACGAAAACCCAGGAGCTGGGGGAACAGGAGAGGTCAGTTCTTACGGAGCATTTCCTGGCTGATGGCCTGGACAAGCGTGCTTTCGTCTTGGAGTTCCTGCCTGCCTGTGTTGCCAATGCTAGATCCAATGGCTTGGTGGGCCTAACACTTCTCATGGAAGTTCTAGTCGAACTCCTGCATAACCTGCGTCCTGCGGTCAACGCTGTAGCAGAGGCTGCGGCAGTAAGAATGTTGCCGGTGGACCTCTCTGACATGAGCGAGTTCATCGCAGCTGTGCAGAACAGGTTTGTCTTCAAGACATGCGTGTCCAGATGTGCGTTTCTGGGTGGCAATCTGGGGTAATGATCAGCTTCATTTCCCTCACAGCTTCCAAATAGGGACTGGTTAGCAGTCGTTTTGGGGACCTTCAAAGGTCACGGGAAGATGGGCATCTTAAAATCGGCCAGAAATCATACCCTGACTGTTTCAAGAAATCATACCCTGACTCTTTCAACCTAGAGAGGTAATCATATGTTTTTGAGAACCTATTGTACTGCTCCTGAAGGTGTTTTTGTGACAAAGCTGGGAAATGCTAAAACCTGAACCTAAACCCTAAGCCCAGGTTCAGATTCTCCGGATCCAGAGTCTTGTTGGAGATGACCGGTGGCAATTGGGGTCGCGTGAATGATCCAGATTCCGACCTTACCAGTCTGGCCTATGATGCTGGGTCAGCGTTATTTACTTAAAGCTTCATTGGTTCAGGGTTGGTGGTTTAGCTATGGCGTGGTTGTAATCCTCGCAAATTAGATCCCTTGTGACAGATTACGGTCTTGCTTGGCGATCCTAAATCTCAAATGGGTCTACGTATACTACTGCCCTTGAACCTTGGAGTAGGGAAAGACCGTTACAATTTCGTTTGAGTTGGCGCAGCTAAACGGCTGGAGAGACCAACATGGTCCTTTTTGACAGGTCTGCATGGCCTTACGGGTACCTATAAACCCATTGGTGTAATATTGGGATACTGGAAAACCAGAAACTACTATTTAGGGTTGAGGGTTTAGGGTTTCCCAGAATTGGGGGTACCTTTTGGGGGTCACCATAATAAGGATTCTAGTACTTGGGTGTCTATAGTGGGGTCCCCTATTGAGAGAAACTACCTTGTATGGTCCCCCGCACATTTTATGGGATCCCCTTCATTGGCATCATCGTAGACCCAGGCCCCCTAAGGGATAGATCATAGATCCAAAAGTGGATACGCCGTGATCCGTGATCTGCCGGAATGAAGCTATTACCAAACTAGGGAAGGAAGCTAGAAGATTATTGGAAAGCTCCATCTTTTGGATGCTTGCCTGCTTCACTAAGGATATCAAAGACATTCTGACGAAGCAGCAACACATGGAGAGACATATGCTTCGCCGAAGCACACCCAAACTCTAGGGGCTTTAGGAGGGACCCTTAGTGGCTACCTGTGTAGCTTATGAGGGTCCAGGTATGGCAAGGTATATGGGGTACCTACTGTGATCGGAGTAAAGGTCCCTTCTAGGGGTCCGTTCTGCGAACCCTTGACAAACAATGATGGTCAGTCCATTTTGAGCCTTCTCGTAGAGAACTCTGGTGTACGGGGAGGGCACGGGCTCATATCTACTCATAAGGGCCCCTTAGTGAGTAGCTGAATTTTGCGGAGTGCCCTCCGTACCCGCCACGGAAGAAGGTGGATTGAGGTTTGGCTCACCTGCACGAACGCTGCAAAGCATTCTTTGCAACAAGGTGTTTAATCTCTGCAGGAGAGTAGCACGCTGCACTGTCACTCATAGTACTCATAGTCCACGTCTAGGGCAAAATGACTATTACAGGGGTTCTAAGGGGGATACTAGGAGTTGAGACTAGAACTCAAATGGGTCTACGGAACCTGCAAGCAACCTATCACGTTGTGGCCTCTTGGCAGAGTGCTACGGTTCTCCCAGCAACGAAAAAAGTGCCGGGTTCTCCAAGGGAACATCAGGCGTACAAGCTCTCCGTGATACAGTGGAAGCATCGCCGCTCCCACACAATTGTGTGGCTCAAGCTCAGTTCTGTTAATGCTTTAGTGCTGTACCCTGTGTAGAGACTTGTGTCCATGATTTTGGTGGGCACGATGCCTTTTCAACGGTGATGTCTCTGTCATGAAGGATGTCCAGAAGTGGCGTCAGGTTCTTGAACAGACCTTTGTGCACCGAGAGCTTGATTTTTTCTGTTTCACCGCAACAAGATGAAAACGCGTGCTTCGAAAAATAAGCAGAAATGAGCTTGTTCCTTGCCGATACACAACTGCTCAGCCTGTCTGGTCAATGATTACAAGCATAAGGACCGCGCCATATCGCTTGAAAGTAAGGACGAACATCCTATAGCGGCAGCAACAGAAGCACAGACAGCAATGCTGCTCTGAAACTGCTGCTTGTCCAAGTAACATGAGCACTAACAGATATAGTCCCTCTTAAGTAGATAGAATACTGAATTGACCTTTATTATAATAAGACTATACCCCGATAGAACTTAAGGGAGACTAAAGCTCATGTCAGGCAGCCGCCAAGAAAAAAACGCACGCACGTGGTGACCCCAGGGGAGGTAGGCATTTCAAATTGTGGGGTTTAGGGTTTAGGG